AAAAAAAAAAAAAAAAAATCCTCAACTCAACTTTAACTCAACCTCACTATCTCGATATTATCAATCAACCATCATTACACATCACATCAACTTTAACTCACTATTTATCCACTATTCATATAGTTACATAATTTTAACTACCCATCACTTTCAATCTACTCTTTTCTACTTTTGCAACAAATCAATTTAATTATTTTATTTTAAATCGTGTTTTAATAAAAACTCAAAATCCCACTCAAACCTAACCCAATCTACTTCTCAAAATTAACCCTTGTTAACAAAAAAAAACCAGCTTTTGTGTAATTAGGGTATGCATAATTGTGCTGCTACTCAGATACGTAATTTGATGGAGCCGGTACAACCCGAGGCAAATAAGCAGATAGCTAGGCAGGGTCCCACCAACCAGGTTGGCCAGAACCAGATGATAAGGCCTTCTCCGAGTTCAGAGCAGCTGGCTTCTCAACCTCCCATGCCTCAGATGTTGCAACAGACCACAAGATTCTGATAAGGTCAACTATTTTTAATTACCATAATAATTGTAGTAATAAATTATATAATAATAAATTTATACCGTATATATAGTCGATTTCGTGTCCACCTATAACACTCAAAGGCTATTTGTTTCATTATACTCTTACAAAATATGTCAATTTCCAATGAAAACATAAGTTGTGACTTCTTATTTGCTTTCACAGGTTTAAGGGCAGAAATGTTGGCCTCCAATTGCTGCTTCCAATATGTGCATATCATATTTTGACAGATTGGCTTCTTGGAGGATGACATATTCTATATTTATTATTATATTTATTATTATTATTATTAGCCTCATGGGGGCTGATCACTTGGAGTTTTACATTTAAATTGGAATATTTATCAGATTCAGTTACTTTTTAACCTAGTCTCAGCTGCATTTGCAATGTGAATGTTTAGGGCTTCGTTGGCCCAACCTTTTCTTGTGTGTGTATATATCTCGTTTTTTCGTGAGTAACCTTCGATGAACCTCGGCACATTCGATGGAGTAACCGTGCAAGCTATTTTTCAAATGTTGGCCTAACAATGTGTGTATATCAATGTTTTCTTCGAATAAGGGGAAAAAAAAGAACAGACTGCTAAAAAAGATGGCAAGTAAATGGAGAACAAAAGTTCAGTTTTTGTTTATTGATCTAAAAAAGAAAAAAGTTTCAGTTTTTGTGGTTAAAGGTTATTTGAGTTGTCTGGTATTTCTTGCTGATATGCTGCTACTTCACGTGGTTGAGGTACATTTTGTATGAAATTCTGAACCTTGTCTACAGTCTCTCTCTCTCTCTCTCTCTCTCTCTCTCTCTCTCTCTCTCTCTCTCTCTCTCTCATTCTTTATGAAAAAAGAATAAAATATCTAGAAACATGAAGATTTTTCATGTTTGCACTTAGCTTATGAAGAAAAAATGAGAGAAATTGAAACTGCATTGTTTTTTTACATTTTTCATTTATCAAAACCGTGATAATAGCCTTGTTAGTAAAATACTCATTTTTTTTTAAAAAAAAATTATTACATTGTTGTTACTTTATATTGACTCTGATATTTGTCGATATATCAAGTTATGGATGAATCCATATGAGAGCCACCCATTAGCTCGAATTTATTCTTTCAAATTACTCGTTTGTTTTATATTTTCATGTACTCATCGTCACTTGGTTGTGGATAGTTACCAACATAATTTGATGGTAATTAAACCACTAATACAATCTATTGATAAAAATATCCAACACAATTTCCTAGGTAAAACAACTAATGCAATCTGATTATTAAAGCTAACAATTTTTTTTTTACGTAAACTCGATTTATTTATGTTTGAAAAGTTTGTTTTCATTCGTTGAAAATCAAATGTTGTATATTCTATCTTTACAAATATCAGTCATATTCTATAATAGTGAAAAACTGATTAAAAAAAATGTCAATCATAGAATGTGAAATTTCAAGTGAGCTAAACCTATTAGTTAAAAGAATACCAGAAAAATATGCAAAACTGCTAACAACATATCAACGTCTATAATTCATGAATTTGTCTTATTTATTGTCGCTCAACATCTAATAATTCATATATTTGTAGTGTTAATACAATAAACAAGAGAAGACAACATGTAAAACTAACGTGGTGTCTTTTTTTTAGCGAAAGTAAATTTCTAGACCAAAGTATTTGAACGACCGACAGACGGCTTATAAAGCGTAGTGGGCAGCTACATGCACGACTCTTCACTCGCAGGTCATAAGTCTAAGAGTGCAACTACGGGTCGGTTGTTCACTCAAATCCCAAGGAAACTAAAAAATGCAAAAACTCCAAGCGCGTCGCGGTGCGACTCTCGGCTCGATGCCTGTCTTCTCCCGCCAAGGATATCTATCATACTCCAAGGATATTCCACTCATATTCGACAAGGACATTTGAATACAAATCAAAGATTGTACGATAAACATGGGTTTGGATCTTACAGATGACTATACTCGGAGTCCCTTTGAGTTTTATTGTCCCTCGAGCCTCTTTATAGTCCATTTAAGAGTCCCTTTGAGTTTTATTGGCTTATGATATAAGCTAATCCACTCTCGAATCACCCCCAGAACTTTCTGAGCTAAAGAAGCATTCAAAAAATAGGCGATCCAATAATTCAGCAACACCATCACAAAAAGAACAAGTCGAGTCTACATCAAGGAACTCTAACCGGTCCTTTGTACTTATTATCATAACACTATCTACAAAGACACAGACCAAAAAGAGCCATAAAAGTATTTCTACTTTTCCAACCCACATCCATATTTTCCAATTTTTACATTTTTATTTGCGTGATAATATCATAATAATACTTTTTTATCCCAACTTAATAAGGGAACAAGAAATATCCTTTGAAAATGCATTAATTTCGAGGAACGAAAAACGAGGTTTCTCTCATGTTGCAGAATGGCCAGCAGACCAGAGGCAAAGCAAAGCTGCCACAACAAGACGACCCCATATTCATAGATTCTTATTGAAAAATAACACACTAAAAAAAACAAAAATTCCAAAATAAACAGTAAATATCAATAACAATAATAAGATTAATAATAAAGAAAGACACCCTTTTGCATGAACCATTGAGTTTTATAATCGTTACATCAACTATTCACGACGACCGATACATAATGATCTAACTGTTACAAATTCCGATAGAATAGTTCCGTAACGAGAGTGTAACATTTCTCTGAAACTTGATCATGATGACCAAATTAATATATACACACACATACATATATGTATATGTATCCATGTTTCTATCTATATCTAGTGTGTGTAGTACTGTGTGAGATTGTACAATTACACACAATAAAAACAAATAAAATAAAGCCTGTGTCCTTGCTTTTTTTGCTTTGGAATTTGAGCTTCAACCCTTCCCCCACAAAACCCCAATCTATGGTGAGGGTTTTTCAGTGTTGAGCTGAGGAGAAAAGGATAATAATAATAAAGAACACAAAAAGGGCACCTTTTTTTTTCACCTTTTTTAAAGATTTCATTTTTATCCCAATACAGAGCAA